CATATACTTTACATTACAGTTCAGTGTATTACCATATACCTTACATTGCAGTTCAGTGTATTACCACTTATCTTACATTACAGTTCAGTGTATTACCATATACCTTACATTACAGTTCAGCGTATTACTATATACTTTACATTATAGTTCAGTGTATTACCACACACCTTACATTACACTTCAGGGTATTACCACATACCTTACATTACAGTTCAGTGTATTACCACATAGCTTACATTACATTTCAGGGTATTACCATATACCTTACATTACAGTTCAGTGCATTACCACATAGCTTACATTACAGTTCAGGGTATTACCATATACCTTACATTACAGTTCAGTGTATTACCATAAACCTTACATTACAGTTCAGTGTATTACCACATACTGTATATTACAGTTCAGTGTATTACCACATACTTTACATTACAGTTCAGTGTATTACCATATACCTTACATTACAGTTCAGTGTATTACCATATACTTTACAATATAGTTCAGTGTATTACCACATACCTTACCTTACACTTCAGGGTATTACCACATACTTTACATTACAGTTCTATGTATTACCATATACATTACATTACAGTTCAGTGTATTGCCATATACCTTACATTACAGTTCAGGGTATTACCATATACTTTACATTACAGTTCAGTGTATTACCACATACTTTACATTACAGATCAGTGTACTACCATATATCTTACATTACAGTTCAGGGTATTACCATATACCTTACATTACAGTTCAGTGTATTACCATATACCTTACATTACAGTTAAGTGTATTACCATATACCATACATTACAGTTCAGTGTATTACCATATACCTTACATTACAGTTCAGTGTATTACCATATACCTTACATTACAGTTCAGTGTATTACTATATACTTTACATTACAGTTCAGTGTATTACCATATACTTTACATTACAGCTCAGTGTATTACCATATACTTGACAATACAGTTCAGTGTATTATCATATACTTTATATTACAGCTCAGTGTATTATCATATACTTTACATTACTGTTCAGTGTATTACCATATACTTTACAATACAGCTCAGTGTATTACCATATACTTTACATTACAGTTCAGTGTATTACTATATACTTTATATTACAGTTCAGTGTATTACCATATACTTTACATTACAGCTCAGTGTATTACCACATACCTTACATTACAGTTCAGTGTATTACCACATACCTTACATTACAGTTCAGTGTATTACCATATACCTTACATTACAGTTCAGTGTATTACTATATACTTTACATTACAGTTCAGTGTATTACCATATACTTTACATTTTAGTTCAGTGTATTACCATATACCTTACATTACAGTTCAGTGTATTACCATATACCTTACATTACACTTCAGGGTATTACCACATACCTTACATTACAGTTCAGTGTATTACCATATACTTTATATTACACTTCAGTGTATTACCATATACTTTACATTACACTTCAGGGTAATACCACATATCTTACATTACACTTCAGTGTTTTACCACATACCTTATATTACAGTTCAGTGTATTACCATATACCTTACATTACAGTTCAGTGTATTACCATATACTTTACATTACACTTCAGGGTATTACCACATACCTTACATTACACTTCAGGGTATTACCATATACCTTACATTACAGTTCAGTGTATTACCACATACCTTACATTACAGTTCAGTGTATTACCATATTCGTTACATTACACTTCAGGGTATTACCACATACCTTACATTACACTTCAGTGTATTGCCACATACCTTACATTACAGTTCAGTGTATTACCATATACCTTACATTACAGTTCAGTGTATTACCATATACCTTACATTACACTTCAGGGTATTACCACATACCTTACATTACAGTTCAGTGTATTATCATATACTTTAGATTACAGTTCAGTGTATTAT